ATTTGGAACGGATCGCTCATGTAACCCCGGTATATGTTTCTTTGAGAACAAATGGACTTCTATTATAATATGGCTAGGTGTAACAGTGGAGAATGAAACTGAATGAACATCATGGATACCACGACAAATAGGTAGTGCAGTGTGGCCAAATTGGTGATGTTGCGGGGAAAGTCACCCCCAATGAAAAGTATAATGACATCCTCAGAAATTTTAAAATTACATCATCACGACGTTTTTGTCATGAAAGCATACCTACCTAGGGTAGGAATAAAGACTGAAAATGTTCCAATGTACGATTCGCACCGTCATACTCGTACTGTCGCGCTTGCAATGCCGTTTTTTTTACATATTTAATGACAATATTTTTTTTTTTACTTTCAGTCAGAACTTGACGTCAGGTATAGTTTTTTCCCCACATTGTCTGTAAAAACTGCACCTAAAATGAGGCTGAAGACGAGTTTTTTTTTTTAAATAGTGACATCCTCGTACGACTTTTTTATACATCCTCCCCCTAACGCTAAACCAATTTGGTCACACTGAGGTAGTGCAATAGTGATTATTGTGGATACTACACATACATTACACAGAATAAGTGTTACAAAGGCTGCTCTTTGAGATACTTTTACATCAATAATGAGATGACCATATAGCACACTCATTCGTCATGTAGACTAGAGTGGCATCTAAGTACAGAAGTTAACCCGGCAGTTGCTGGGGTATTTCGCCACCCACCGTTTGCTGGGGGGGGGGGGGCGTTAAACGCCCCCAGCCGATAACTCGAGAACCAACAGGCGCAGCGAAACGCACGAGGCGGCAACCGAAAGAACGCGACGAGACGCTTCAGAATGAGTACTTAAAAGTTGAATTTTGAGGTCACAGGTCGGGTAAAGGTCAGGTCAAACACCTGAAATCGGGCTTTCAGTAGCATGGACTTCAGGACTTCGCAATGGGCGCCTCTCGTCATAAACTCTATCAAAACGGTGCACAATCCATCATATAAGGCCTACAAGAGTGTCAGCTCCATGTAGGGGTCAGTCAAGCATAGGTCAGGGTCAAGGTCAGGCCAACCGGGTAGGCACATATCCCCGAAAATCAAAACTGATAGTCGCAGCATGTGACACATGTTTGATGGGTAATTTGGGGCGTAGAACACGATGGTGACATTCATTTTATCATATGTAAATGTGTTTGGCTAAACAAATTCAATTTAAGAAATGCATGTATCATGGTCGTGAAGTAGTCACGAGAAATTGCCAAGATTCAGTTCAAGATTTTGGAAAATGCGGAACGAATAATCAATAATCGAAGATAGCCATTTGATTGTTCATGGTATTGGCAGTCTTATGCCGTTTACGGCATGTCTGTATGTCTATTCTGTGATTTTATATGATTTTTTGAACGTATGCCGTTTTTGGTCGAAAACTCAGAAATCATGACGCCACTAAAACCTCGATATCTCAAAAAGTTTTTTTTAGATATCGTTTTTTTAAGTTTTTTTTTTAAACTTTGCCACAATAAACTTCAATCAATTCTCTACAGGTACCCAAAATTTGGCGCGCCTGCGGCGCACCGTTTTTATGCTATGGCCCGGCGAAAGTGGGGGCGTTTAACGCCCCCCCCCCCCCCCGCAACTCGCGGGTTAATAACAGGCAAACTTACCCCGCGTTCGATGTCTCTCGGACGACAAAGATTCTACACCGTCCGGCCAATCCCGTTCAAGGTCAGAGTGGGCTCGGCTGTGGTTATGAAACGTGATTGGCCGGACGGCGTAGAATCTTCGCCGTCCGAGAGACATCGAACGCGGGGTAAGACACCCATGTCTCCCCAGTCCTGCAGAACATGCAACCCATAGGCCTTCACTGGTGGCTTAACTGGTATGGCAACAGTCATGAATCATGATGCGACATTTCAGGACACTGGTGGGTGGACTAAGTTAACCCGCGCCGGGCCAGGGGGTGTTTGAACACCCCCTGCGGTTTTTCGCAGATAGGTATCTAAAAAACGGCGGCGCGGAGTGCCGCCGTTTTTGGCACACCTGTTCGTGCATGTTTTCCGCACATGTCGTAGAAATTTCAGGCCCAGGTCGCCTTAGGTCAGGTCACCAGGTCACGCCAAGTAACCTCACCTCAGAAAAAATAAGAATGCTCGTCATAGCTACACCGATTGATCGATTGCCTTGAAACTTTCAGCGATTGATAAGTGCAGCATTATCTAGAAAATGTTTATCTCGGAATTTTGATATCGATGACCTAAGGTCAGGTCAATTTTGCGGCCTTTCCATTATAAGTTAATTGGGAGAAAATTGAAAAGCGTCTGTTTTGCACGAACGCTATTCTAGACACTCAAACATTGAGATGTAGGTAAAATTGACACACTGAACCGGAAAATGGCAACTGTGACCCCTCGTTATGTCCCCGAGGTCATCTCAGGTCACGAACAGAATCTAACAGTTTTTCGCTAATAACTTCTGATAGAGGCGTGCTAGAGCGCTGAAAACGCCTTAGATGTGATCGGTTCGACGTTGCAGATCGACTGATATGCAGCATGACCTTTTCCGGTCAGGTCATGACCTTGACCAGAGGTCAAATTTTCAAGTTGACCTTTCAAGGTCAAATTATAGTTCATTCGACGCGTCTCGATAAGAGGAACACGATGCTGGCAAAAGTAATGTCATGGCTCTTTTGAGTCAAAAGTTATTGCCGATAAAACACTTTTCATAAAAACGGCTATTTTTGGAGTTTTTGCCCTCTGGAGGCTAAACCGTTGACCTGAGGTGAAATCTGAGGACATTATTCAAAAAGGTCTGTAAAAGGGCTATCGAATGCGCTTTTCCGCGGCGCTGTAGCTCTATCGGTCCCGAGATAGCTGTGGAAGTTTCCAAAATGATGAAATAGTCAACATTTTCCCTTTGGTGACCTCTGGTGACCTGACCTTTGACCTGACCCAAAAAATGACCGAATTGTTTTCGTCCTTATTTTGGACGTTCTTTCGATTGCCGCCTACCGCGTGTCGCTACGTGGCCCAGGAGCCGAGTTAGAAGGGGGGGGTGTTCAGACAACCCCCGGCCCGGCGCGGAATCTCAGAGCACCGGCCCGGCGCGGGCACTTGACTGGGCACTTAAACCTCGCCCGCACATGCCATTTTCCCATCCTAGAACGCACATGGGGGGGGGGGGGGGTTGCCACCCCCCGCGCCATTTCGTTCCTGTTGGAGATAGAGCTTCGCGGTAAAGACCAAAAAGATTCTTTGGGAAGAGACGAATCCAATGATACCCAGTTTTACCTTCTCAGGTCAGTCATTGACCTTCCAAGACTACCTGGGGGGTGGCAACCACTCCCCCCCATGTGTGGGCAAGGTTTAAATACTCCCCCCATGTGTGGGCGAGGGTTCAAGGACTACCTTACCTTACCTTACCTTAGGTACCTATATATAACTAGGTATCTAAATACTTAATACTGTTAGTCATGTTTAAGTAATCCAAAACCACTTATCATTTGAATAAGGGTTTTCTTACCAAATACCATGACAGCCTGAGCCAACTGCCAAGCCACCCAAATGCCTGTTGACTGGGACTTTTGTGACTTGTTAGTTGTAGGCCCCACATAGGCCCCATCTATCTGGGCTGTCCCCACATGGGACCCAGTTGGAGCTGTGTGACAAAGCCCACTGGGACCCACATGGACTGCCCATATCAGATCCATATGGGACCCACTTGGGTGTGCTGGCTGTGCTTTAAGGATCCCAAGTGCACCAAAATGTCTTCTATGTATGCATTACCAAAAATTAGAACACACTCCCACTGTCAGTTGTTGACACTTCCAGCCTAAGTGCCATCAAAGGTCAAAGCCAGACCATAGGGGTGTTCCCGGGGCACCGTAAACTGCTGAGTGTGGTGTGTGCAGTAAGCTTGGGAGTAGGCCATAGGGGATGGGTAGGCGGGTCTGACGTCACGGCTGCATTCGGTGGCCAGTCCCCTGTGGCCGGTCCCGACTGTTGTGTCGCTGGGTGCGACGGGAGGCTGACGTAGGCACGCAGTGGGCAGAACTTACAGCCTGTGTATGGTCCGACCCCACACAGGACCCGTGAACAGCCCTCCTGCCAGACTCAGACTGGAAACGCCTGAGACACTGTGCACACAGTAAAGCTACTCACCCTGATGACTAAGTCTGGGACACCACAAGGAGCTAGATAGCAATAGGACTGGGTCCTTGAGCCTTGAGGCTAAGTGGCCTTTCAAAATTCCCCACTTTTATGCATAATCATTTTAAGTAAGTATAACTTATCGACTCCCCCTCCACCTAAATAAATGGAAAATGTTTAAAAACTGATCGACTCCCCCTTCCACGCCTCGCAAAACGAAATCGACAACAACTCACCGCGGCAACACGCCTCGATCATCATGCGCGAAATGCGATCCACGCGGTCCACATGAGGGCTGTTCACGGGCCCTGTGTGCGGTCGGACCGCACACAGCCTCGAAGCTCCGCCCACTGCGTCCCTACGTCAGCCTTCCGTCACCGCACACAGCGATCGCTGTGGCCGGTCGGGACTGGCCACAGCGGACCGTCCACCGCACGCAGCCGTGACGTCAGAACCGCCTACCCATCCCCTACCCCCACGCCTGCTGGACGCACCGCACACACCGCACGCAGCAGTGTGCGGTGCCCGTGAACACCCCTCCGATCATTCCACAAAACAAAAACAAGCATGAGCAGTTCAGCGGTTTCATTTTTCAAGATTTTAGTAAAATGACGTCATGAGGCTGTGCATAACTATGCTGGTTTGAGGTTGGTTTGAGGGGCAATTATTTGGTTTCAGATATGCTTTTGAATTAATCGAATAAATTATGACTGTGTCGATTTAGCGGTGATATTCAAAAACATTGCGCAAACATCACAATTATTTCTGCACAGATCACTCCAACGCTTCCAACGCTTTTTTGGATGACGTCAGTCTTATCTCAATCGATAATCAAGAATGTAAATAGATATGCTTGAAAGTTTGAGACATATCTGGCGCAACAGTGAGCATGTTGAATGTTGAATTTTGCAAAATAAAATTGTTTATTAAGCGATAGGGAAAGGTAGGCAAGCGTTTGTGACTTCGATTCCACTAAAAAGTCATTCGCAGGCGGTTTGTATCTAAAATGTCGCCTGATAAATTGATTGGCAATTGAAGTTCAGATCCCTTTTTGTGATTTTTTGATATGCGTGAAAATATGGATTTGACCCCTTCTTGTCTCTGTCGGAATATATAAGGCCACCCCTGGATTGATAATATGTTTTTAACCATGTCTTTCAAAACAGTCCTAACAACAATTTAGACTATATTGCCATTCCTTGTGATATAAGTTTGGTACTGCAGATACACCATTCAGGGGTACCGTAAAACGGGGTGTTAAGGGACAGTTTTGAGGTGTTTTGTTAGATAACTCAAGAAGGGTTGGAGATAGAAACATCAAGTTGTCAGCATTTTATGTGGAATTTGGTGCTTTACATGCCTGCTACATTAAAGTTTTTAAGATTTATACCTGCATATTACTTTTTATTATTTTTCATCACTGTCCCTTAGCACCCCAATGTGGGGTGTTAAGGGACACCTATATTATTCCAAGAAATGGTCGTCAAATGCCCACAATTGGGGTGTGGAAGTGCACACAATTTATTTATTGAAATGTTTTGCATATTCTGTCACAAAACAAGTCGGGTTCATTCACCACTAATGACCTGTTTAGCCAATTACGGGTTATGCAGTTTACGCTTCTGGAAAATGTGCTAATTATAAGGTAAACAGAACCAAAAAGTACCCTTCTGTCATCAATAAAAGCCCATGTCCAAGCTAGTCACTTGTCATTATGTTGCCCTCTTTATTTTAGCCTTTTTATGATGACATCACATTTACCTACATCAGTCTCAGTTGGGCAAACTAGACTTTTGGAATCAAAATATGGAGGCATCAATAATTTGATTCTGGTGGGAGGAGCCATGACCAAATATGGGCGTGGAATCAATTTTTTGATTCATTTTGGTACACTTTTGACTTCAAATGTATCGTTACGGTTGAAAAAAGGCCCATGACGGTGAGATTTTTCTTCAAAAAGGTAGAAAAATGTGGTAGGTTTGCAAAAAGTGTTACCTCAAAACTAAGAAATTGTCCCTTTGGCCTTGTGAATGGGAAAAAGACAGAGCCACTGTCCATCACGTAAAAGCTGTTTTGAGGAAATCACACTGTATGTTATTTTTGTATCATGAATCGCATACTAAACAATCAGTATTTGTGTAAAATGGCAAAATGAAATTTTCAAACCCCTAATTATCATTGTTGTAATGCTTTTATATTTATTATATGGTTTTTACCTGTTGCTTCAGTTTTTGTATTCGTGACATTTCAAAATTGTGAATTGTTGTCAAATGTAGTGAAGGTAAAGTACAACAATGGTATAGGTATCTGTTGTGGTGCTGAGGATACCACTTAATGAGAATAATAGCAAGATAAATGCTGTATTCTTGCAAGTCATTGTTGCCTATCTGTTAACATTACCTGTGAATCAAAATAATGATTAGCCAGCTGATGGGGAATCAATATTATGATTATCTGTTTAAAGTGAATCAATTCCTTGATTGCCTTTCACTACCTATAGAATTCAAAATGTTATGATTGGAGCAATATTATTTTGCTTAGGAGATACTTCCAGCATTTCTGTTCAAGATCAGGCATGCTCCTTCTTGAAACACTATCTTATTTTTATGTGTTTGGTAAGTTAGAAATGGTCTGCATTTATGCCCAAATATGGTCATAAGGAATCAATCTTTTGATGCCTCCATATTTTGATTCCAAAGGTCTAGTTTGCCCAACTGGTCTCCATTGACCCACCATTGTAAAAGAGAGTGTTGAGATGTTTTGTTACATAACTTAAGATGTGTTAGAGATAAAAGCATGAACTTGCCAGCATTTTATGTGGAATTTGGTGTTTTCCATGCCTACTGAAAGAAAACTTAACGAAATTATATTTAGATATTATTTTTTATTTTTTCTTCCCTGTCCCGTAGCACCCCACATCACCTCAAAATATGCATGTATCCGGAAAAGAGGAAGAGGATGATGAATGAATGGGTGGATTTGCACAAGTTTTTCAGGAAACATGTGCAATACATGTGACAATACACCTATGCATTCATTTTCCCTGTACACCCACTAGTTTATGTGGTACACACAGAGTTTTGGAGATGTTTCAATTTTGTGAAAATGTAGCATGATTTTCAAATCCATTTTTGAGCCAAATCACTTGCATGAAAAACCATACTATTTTGTCCTATGGTCAAGAGCAAAACAGTGTCAACTATCACACTGAAGTTTTTATTGAACCTTCTCAAATTAGGAAGTTAATATGACTCAAAGTTTTTCCCATGCAACTGTCCCTTAGCACCCCACTGTCCCTTATCACCCCATTTTACGGTACTTTGATGCCTGGGTAAAGCAATTATACCACTTTTTATCTGAGGGGTGTTCACGGGCACCGCACACTGCTGCGTGCGGTGTGTGCGGTGGGTCCAGCAGGCGTGGGGGTAGGGGATGGGTAGGCGGCTCTGACGTCACGGTTGCGTGCGGTGGACGGTCCGCTGTGGCCAGTCCCGACTGGCCACAGCGATCGCATCGCTGTGTGCGGTGACGGAAGGCTGACGTAGGGACGCAGTGGGCGGAACTTGGAGGCTGTGTGCGGTCCGACCGCACACAGGGCCCGTGAACAGCCCTCGGGGGTTTGAAATGAAATACCATTACCCGGGGCTACTATGATAGTTTTATAGATCTGTCTGCACTTAGCCGATAAATGGTGAGATTTAAAAGGTTGCGTAGACCCTGACCCCTACCGTCTGATCACCGATGGAGGTAATGGGAAAATGTATATGTCAAACCTTAACATGCCCATCAAAGCCAGAGCCCAGACATGAGGGGTGTTCACGGGCACCGCGCACTGCTGCGTGCGGTGTGTGCGGTGCGTCCAGCAGGCGTGGGGGTAGGGGATGGGTAGGCGGTTCTGACGTCACGGCTGCGTGCGGTGGATGGTCCGCTGTGGCCAGTCCCGACCGGCCACAGCCCACAGCGATCGCTGTGTGCACTGTGCGGTGACGGAAGGCTGACGTAGGGAAGAAGTGGGCGGAGCTTCGAGGCTGTGTGCGGTCCGACCGCACACAGGGCCCGTGAACAGCCCTATGGTCTGTCTCAGTTCTCACTCAATTGACTTTAACTGACTGCGACCGCTCCCATCAATCGCAGACCATCCCAGTCAGGAGTCTCAAATATCGAGTACCTGAGCAACTCGAACCCAGGCTGTTGCCACCGTAAGTCCGGTGCTCTACCAAATGAGCTACAAGAGGGCTACCTATGGGAAGTTACAACTGCATTTTGCAATTAATCCCAAAACATACAAAACGTGGCCAGGGATCCTGCTGTATCCTCATTAGTCATTTCCAAGGCGTCATTTCTGAATACCACAAAGATATGGTAAGGTAAGGACAGGACAGGGTATAAGAATAACACGCATCCAATAGTATATTAGTGGTAGTGAAATGCAAATATTAACCAGGGAAGTCAGGCAAGCAAATCACTGAGACGTGAATGCTGCATTGAAATGTGGCCTAAATCATGGAACAAAAATGTTTCAAATATCTAAATCTTTTGGTTATATTAGCATTCACGTACCTACTCTCTTTTCCCCAGAACAAAAGCACCGAGACAAGTCAGCGACTGAGTGTCTCCGGCTGTCGGGCTGTCCGCTGTTGGCCTGTCTGTTAGCGCACAGGATGGACGCCCTGCTGGAGAACATGTTTCCGGCGCTGCGGCGGCGACATCAGGCCGGCGCCCGAGCCGACGCGCCGCCGGCCGGCCAGCCCCCGCCGCCGCAGGCGCCCCCGCCGCCGCCGCCGCAGCCGCCGCCGAGGCCGGCCGGCGCTCAGAACGCCGCTGAAGAACAGTTTGTGGCGATCCGCGACCGGCTGTTCCACGCCATGTTCGTGCGACTCTCGCTGGCGTACGCACGCCTGTTCTCGCCGCGCGTCCGGCGCATGGTCGAGTTCGCCTCCCTGCTTGTGGTACGTGCTGGGTGTCCTGACAGTGTTGGGTGGCCCTCGGTCCCGTCGGTAGTTGTACTGAACCTATCGCAGTTCCAATTGTACCCCGTCCTTATAAAACTTACCTCAGCTCCAAATGGTCCCGTCCGTATCAAAGTGATTGTAGCTCTGAGCGTGCCCATTCCATATCTAAGTTGCCATAATTCTGGGTGAGTCTCGGTCTCAAGTTACTGTTTGCCGTCATTTGACATTTCTCCAAATACGTGTAGTTATCTCCGTCCGATGGACGCTAATTGAGCAATTTGGGATATTGTTTCCACCTTTGTACGCTGACATTCCCACTCAGTTGTGTGCTGATTCTCTTATCGTCTTACGCTGATGTTTAACTCATGTTTCCAGGCGATCTGCTCTCTGGCGATGCTGACGTACATTCACGTGGCGTTCTCACATATGCCCAACCACTGTCTGGACAGCGTCAAAGACGAGTGGCCGCGAGACGGAATACTGCGCGTCGAGATCATACGCGACCCCGGTAAGTGGATACTGGATAGGTCACGCTGGTTACATTCATACAAACCCATCCACATGATGCCGAGAGATCATGCCACACAGACCTTCATGGGCTGCTGCGTCTGCCATTGTCTATATGGCATAACCTGATTCAAATCAACTATGGCATGAACGGATCCAAATCAATTATGGCATGACCTGATCCAAATCAATTATGGCATGACCTGATCCAAATCAATATAACCTGAGCGCTGCTGTTGTGATCCGACTTGACTCGATGTTCGCCTTGCACGACCTACATTGTTCTGATGTAACACCAAGGTGCCGATCTGTGTCAGTCATGTGACATCAGCTAAACTGGCTTGATGCGTTCTTCTGACATGTGGAACGTCTCTCGGTCTGCCCCCCCCCCTACCTAGTATCTCTGTCTCACCCAGTGTAAGCTCCCTTCTTACCCCCCCCCCCCCCTGTATGACCGGCGGTCTTGTCTGACCCATAGTAACCCCTCTCCAACTCATCTCTGTTTGACCGGCAGGCGAGGAGTACACGCTGGCCAAGTCGTACGAGAAGGAGGAGCGTCTGAAGCTGCGTGACCCGGACAGCCTGCTGCTGAGCACGCTGGAGGAACTGCTGGACGGCGACCGGAGGTAACGGAGATGAGACGGCACTCGCCGCGGCTAGTCGGTCGGGAGTTGGAGCTGGGGGTGCTGTATAGACCCTTTCTGGCCTCAGAGGGCATTGGGATCCAGATAAGACAAGCTCTTTTTGTGAATAAATCTGTCATAAAATGCTTTCGGTGTAGAAAAGTTGTATAACTATAACAGCCATGACGTAACGTCGATTTTTTAATTTGACAGGAATCGTGAGAAGCAGAAATCCGAGGAGGCGGGTTCCGAGACGGCCACGGAGCAGCCTCTGACGGAAGTTTCCGGAACTGAAACTTTGATAGAGGACGTGACTGTTCCCACCGACCCGGCCAATATCTACTCCAACGCCTCAGCTGGTGAGTTGGCGCCTGGGAGGTTGCTGAGAGGGATCTTGCCAGTGGGATTACCTAATGCCCATCGCTTATCGCATATCGGCCTCTCAGCAAAGATCTAAGCGTAGTAGTGGGACTGCCTGGCACAGATCTAAGGGTAAGTGGTGAGATTACTCCCATGTGCTGGGAGGGTTCTCAGCTGGGATAACTAACACGGCTGAGATGTTTTCTGAGCAGTGCTTGCAATGTGCTCAGCTAGAATTGCCTGCCGAGTGCGTGCCCTGAGTTGAGGGGACTTTCAACGAAAATGCATAACTTTTGGTATGGCCTCCCAGCTCCTCGGAGACTACTGCCATATACCGTGGTGGATGCGTGATCGAAATACCGGCGATTTTGTTTGAGAAAATGCTCCCTTTTTCACTCTTGAAATATCACTGGTGTGTTGTATGGTTGCAGGCGATGCCTCTCTGTGGGACTGTCTTTTCTCCATATCCTTTATGACGGTACTTGTGTTTCAGGGTCGGCACGGAGTACGTCTAGCCCGCTGACGCCGACTTCGAGTGACTCTCCGGAGCCGGGAGGGACAGAGGAGGCCGCCCCAACCGATAGTCAGCAGGTGAGAGTCGGTTTGAGTCCGGGCTGCTACCGCCACCGGACAGTGTACGTTGGGAGCACAATATCTTACAGGTTCACGGTAGACGTCCGACGCACACCAGGCTTGGAGCCACTGTAGACACGAGATTCATGTTTCGCAAGTTCAGAGTAGCTGATGCCAGGGTCTTTGCACTCCACCGATTCATTGGTGGATACCAAGTTTCATCTTGTCGGGTCAGGCAGCCGCCGAGGTTGGGGTTTGAAATGATCACCTGGTGCCACTGCCTCCCTCAGCGCCGGTATATTACTACTAATCTTGACATTGCACACATTAGGGGCCAGTCTCGGTTCCTTGGACTTTCCCGTTAAAATCAGTCTCTTTGTATTTTTATGTAGTTATATCTTGTCAGCGCCCATCTACTCGTAAGAAGCAAGGCTCTCTCAGGTTGATTGATATGGGTTCGTACTTTTTCGCCAGGACGAGGTTCTACCATGTTGACTTTTGAGTAGTCTGCTGGGTCATGATCTGATATCACATGCGCTATCGGTCAAGATCAGACCTTTCTCCGAATCACTGAGCTCCCAACATCTGATCCAACCCTGTGCGCGCTCCCTTCAGTCTCAGTCCCATGATCGGTTCCCTGGTTTCAGACGTTCGGAGGGAACGTGTAGAGAAGGAAGCGCACCGTCAAACAACTGAAAGCCACTGGCTCTTTGACTTTTATAGACTCTGAAAATTGGACTAGCTGAAATAGGTTCCGGATGGTTTAGTTTGAGACTCTGACGGAAGGACAGTGACAGACTGACTTTCTGTATGCATTTGAATGAATGACGGAATGAATAACTGTTACTGACTCCGACGGGCTGACTGGACTCTTACTGACATTACCTGACTTCCGACTCTGACTGACAGGTTGTAGCTGACTCTGACTCTGGGTGACTCATTTTTCCACCTTGACTCTGAAATAGCGACTCCGTTCCCGTCACCGCCGCCGGCTGTGTGGGCGCCTGTCAGGCGGGTGCCTCCTTTGATCTCCATATTAGCCTAACAGGCCATCACCGGCCGAAATAATATGTGTGCGGCCGGCGGTTTGAAGTCGGCGGCCGCCGCCGGCCGGGCGGACTCGTCTCCCCGAAGGAGACCTTTTCGTCCGGATGTCACCGGGCGCGCCCGCCGCGGATGGCGGGGCTGTAGAGGGAAGACTCCCGCGGCTGTCCGGGAACGGCAGCGCGCTGGGGTTGGTTTCCTTCACGTGTACCGTGACATTTAGGTCTCTTTGCGAATGCGCCCACTGCTCTTTGAAATGCTTGATAAGATATGAGGGTCTGGTTCAAGCGTTCGAAATGGTGGTATTCGGCGAAATACAGAGGCCTCTTGCACCAAACTACCTACCTAGGTAAATTCAGATTTTACCTAAATTCTCTTGCACCAAACTACCTACCAAAAAACGCTACCGTGAAAATTTACCTAGAAATTCTACCGAGCGGCATGAGAACTTACCAATTGTTAAAGTCCGACCGACTGTTTTCCTCTTGCACCGAAAGCCGGAAAGTAGTACTCGCGGAGGAAATTTTGACGTTTTGAAGGTAAATTCGGGCCTCCAAAATAACTAGCAAAAGCTTAGGTAAAAGTGAAGTCATCGCAACAGTGAAGACATTGAAAAGGTGAGTGAGATGAACTATTGTGTAAATAATGATATCAAAATGTTTCTCTTGCTTGGTAATGTTTCATCTATGCATGACGTAGCCAATAACACATAATAAATATCAATATTCTTGAGAAAATTGCCATGCACTGTAGAAGGCTTGAGACTGAGTTTGATTGCTTTTAAATATGCATTTAAAGGTGATAATTGTGGCATTAGCCCACTAGGAAAATTGAGTACGTTAGGTATCATGTTTTGTTAAAAATGCTTGCTCTCTGTAATGAATTGCAATGAAAAGTCAAAAAAATCTTCCCTTAATGTGTATGTTCTTCATTTCAATGCTGACAATAAATAGGTGTCTTTCTATCAAAATCAAAATGTCACAATGACAACACTCGCTGGGTTAAGGGATCATTTGCAAACTAATTGACATGGTCAAAACAATAAAATTCATGTGCTCTTCAAAATAAAGAGAGGCATCTAAATATGACAAAAGCCGAGGTACATCAAACAGTCAATGTTGAAAAAGAAAAATTACAATTTCTGCTCTATGCTCTCAAGAAAACTTTAATTTGAGATTACTGGATATTTCATCTTCCATTATAGTACATCTCAAGTGGCACGTCAAAGATATTCGGTAGCTGTTAGGTAGGTTAGTTTAGTATCATATGTGCATGGAGGCATGTGATAGATCAATTACATCAGTGGATCTAAAAACAAAAAGATAAGATCATACCAGAATTTGGATCCCACACAAAAATTATTTCTTGCGTCTATGATCTAATAAGATCTGACAACAAACCAAAGCATAAGCCAATAACAGCTGTTCGCACAAGGATTTAAGCTCTACCACCATTTGCAAAATGTGAAGTGGTTTTCCAGTGTGATTTGATGTCCTTAAGTATCACAAAACTATAAATTGACAGTAGTGGCGGAACACCTTCAGTTAGGGGGGGGGGGGGGTACTGCTGACTTTTGGTCTCATTCTTTCCATGCAATGCCCATAGGGCTTATGTTAAAATGCCAAAATCAAAGGGGGGCACGGTACCCAGGTGCCCTCCCCGCAGTGTTCTAAAATTGGATATTGGTTGGGTGTGCCGATGAAGAAAAAAATCCTAGGATGAGAAAAAAGAAAGTAAGTAACTGCAGTATTTTTGCAAAATGGTGTAATGCCAATTTTTATGCTAACTGATAAACCAGGATTTCATGTCAGGATCTTGACAGGGTGTGGAACAAAAGGATGTGGGTGCATCACTGTCAAGTGACATGTGAACTGGCTGTTGGGAATACATGCAACTCTTTTCAGAGATGTCATTCATATTTCGGTTGTCATATTATGTCATTCATATAAGTCGGTCATTCATATTTTAGGGATGAAAATATTCTCCCCATTAGGTGTGATTTGCCACCAAAAAGACTGAAAAATGAAACACCGCCTCCCCATTCCGCCGCCTATGTAAATTGCTATGTGTATTGTGTAATCACACAATATCCCTGAAACACCTAATGTAAATTGCCACAAATGATCCCATTATGATTATATGGCCACAAAAAGAGAGCACCGACAGAGGTAATGATGTATGATACCAATGAAACCATCAACAAATTATATAGGTAACTGGATACATGATTGTGATGCTATTGTAGGTGAGATCAGGGGGGTACGCTCCCGCTGTTTAGCATTACGAAAAATGGTGACAGACGTTTGTGGAGGATTGTCGACGAACTCTTGTTCCGCGAGCAGTACTTACACGCTAGCGGAAAATTCACCAATCAGCGCTCGGCAGTACTCGACGCTGATTGGTCCGACGCTCGTGACGAAATTGCGGGGGACCGCAGTTATTCTCTATGGACCCGAATAGGCTTTTGGATTTCGGAGGAGTTTCTTTAAAATTATATGCTGTTTGGAGCTGTTTTCGAGTTAAAATATATTTCTTATGACTGTTGGCTATATAATGACACCATAAAATCATGATTTTAATAAATATTACCGATGTAATATCGGCCGAAAAGACATGCTGTCATGGCACGGACTGCCCTGCGGCTGATGTGGGGCCCCTAGTGCCAGCGTATGGTAATAATGGGTTGATGAAGGGTTATTGGAGAAACTTAGAGCCCCATCAGCATTCAGTAGAGGGTCATCAGAGGCCGGGAATGTCCATCAGGGGTCTGAGTAGGCCTGTCATAGGGGCATACATGACACATCATGGCCCATGGGTCAATGTAGATCCATTAGGGGCCGTTGAAGGGCCATCATTGTTCAGCGTGGGCTCGCAATTACCTCTGATGGGCATATGCCGTGCCCCGATGGACTAACGCTGGCCCCTGATGAACCATCACCAGCCCCTGATAGTTCTACAAAGCCCCCTGCTGGGTCCAAATTGGTCACTGATATTCCGAAATGGGCCACTGAGAAACCCGTACAACATCCCCTGACTGCACCTGCTGGACCAGTGCCGTCCCCTCATATGGGCCCACCACAGCTCTTGAATGGCCTTTTCAAGTCCCCTGAAGTGCCTTTATTGGCCTAAATGGCCCCTGATTGACTTATGTGGTCCCTATTGGTCCTATATGGCCCCCATGAGCCCTCAACGTCCCTAGACAGCCTTACATTATATGCCACTGGGCCCTGTTGGGTCAGCACCGGCCCCTGATAGGCTTGCACTGGACCCACCGGGCCTATACCGACCCATGAAGGGCCTATGTCGAGCCCTCATGGACCTCCGATGACCACACGCCGGCATGTGTGGCCCCATCAGCAGTGGTCCGTCTATCCCATGTACTTACGGTCTTTTTGGCCGATGTGACACCGGTAGTATATAGAAATGTTATGATTAAATGTCGTTATTACACAGCCAAAAGTCACAGAAAGAATATCCAAGCTCAAAAATGGCCTCAAACCCAACAAAAACTGGTATAAATCCCCCTTCAAAAGCCTTAAGTCTATGAAACGCCATAGGGGAATAGCTACAGTCCCCCGCAATTTCGTCACGAGCATCGGGCCAATCAGCGTCGAGTATTGCCGAACGCCGATTGGGCGATTTCCGCTAGCCTGTAAATGCTGCTTGCGGATAAAGTTTTGAACAAGTGAGGGTCGCGGCTACTAATTATCGCTTGTCACCACTTTTTCGTCGGGAACGTTCTACCTGGTTTATATAGCCTTGGGTGAGATCAAGATCAGTGGTATTAGAGTTTAAGAACATAATTCAGATCCCAGGACCCAGGTCAATTTCTCGGACCCATGTGAATGACTGGCTAGTAAAATTATATTTTCATCAACAGGGCTTTTTAAGAAAGTGGCCTTGTGGAGCACTATCAATAATTTTACAGAACTTATAAATCTGCACTTGTTACTGATGTGCTCTAGCTCGCACCAACTAAACTGGAATTCAGCACCACCCAATGCAGTCACTTATAAGAACGTATTTTATGAACATTTTTCTAGGTTGACGTGGTTTGAGTCGTGAAATACAGGTTTTTATTTAATTCTTAGCCTAGGGTGCAACAGAGGGATTTCATCTGATACTTGTTTTATTTCTTCTGGTTAAAAACAGTAATATGATTTACGAAGCTTTGCCCATGTTAAATTTTGCCTGGAATCACTTGTGCACTATGCATAGGTATCATTCCAGCTTGAGCTGCCATTATCTCCCCTTCCCTTACCTTACCTTCTCACAGTCAATCACGAAAAATGGCTTTGGTGACCCTTATACACAGATGTGAATTTCCCAGCCATGGGGAAATTTTATTCAGTAACACATGCCCTTGAATCCACCAAATATACCGATTCTCAACTTCAATGGCCTCGACTCGCGCCACGTGGAAATGGACCCCAACAATTCGCGCGCTAACTGCGCCAGACCGCGTTATTTCCCCCCGTCATAGAGAAATGAACTCTTCCAAGCTATCGATGTAACAAATAACTTGTATAAATAGGCATTTAAAATTTTGTGCTATTTTCAATGTTCATGTTGCCGGTAGAAGCCACATGTTTTTGAGTTGTTTATATTTTTTGTAACATGTATTTCAATTTTATTTGTTGACGAGCAACAACTTTGTTATCGATATTCATGCAGTGGCGTTGTCAGTCAGCCGTCAGGCAGGGGCCAAAGAAGCCAAAACTCTTTGTAATTTGTTAAGATAAACAGCTTCACTCTAAAACGTCCTCAGTCACTCGTTTTGTTATAAACATATCACCTTCTGCTACTAATTAATTTCTAATGGAAGGGGCTAGTCGCTAGTCCCGTCATGTTCGGCCACGGCCCGCATGAATCCGCCTATGACGGGCGATGGCCATTCCACTGCGGAGTGGGAAGTGGGAACAGCCGTTAGATGTCTCTCTACATTTCATATAGGTGTCGCGCTTGAAGGGCACTCGGGAGCCACAGCATTGTTGACCTCTATATTCGCGTACCAAAGCGTTAGCAGATAGATAAAGACGGTCTCGTACGCTCCCCTGTAGAGAGGGGGGGGGGAGACCCAAAACATATGTTGAAAATTAAAAAAAAAACACTCCAAACCACTCCAAAAACCAGCCTGACAGATAAGATCCTTCACCTGGCGGCTGGTGCCTCCTGTGAATAACTGCTAGTGTCTGTATCTGACCACTAGGGCCCCTCTGACTCCTCGAGGTCAATGAAATAAGGTTTCGCTCGTCAGTTTTACCAGGGCTATCAGAGGCCGTTTGAATTTTGACGATCGGCCCAGTACCTAGTTTCGGAGATAAGGAGGGGGCTCTGTAGAGTCGCCCCCCCCCCCCCGTCTCCAGCCACTCGCGTTATGGAAAATATCCCAGTCATGCGCGGGTTAAGGATTAAATTACCTACTTACATCATACATGTGTGATACGCAGTTTTGTCATAGTCATAGTTGCTGACGTACATGTGCCGTAAAAAAAAACATTGCGATGAGTAGGTGTACCCACTTGTGTCCGCAAGCCATGCTTTTAAATGGTGCCGACCACGGATCAAAACCATCTTATGCATGTTGCTTCCAGATAACGCCTATGCATTGCCGGATTGACTATGGCCGATGATGACAATTTTGAGCCTCGGGAGCGCCGCCAGCGGAGGCTCCGTCCGCGCATCAACATGGGAGCACTGCATCCAACGACATTCAGGTGACTATTTAATGTGCATGGGTGCCTGTATGCCGCATATCAAGAGTGTCATTGTATTCATTCGAAAGCTTTATATAACCTTAAATCCCGTTTCTCTTTAGGGAAAACTTCCGCCTCAGCGTCGAGGTCGCCACTGCACTGGAAGACCTCATTAGCGGGACGGTGGCGCACGACACGGGCTTAAATATGGCACTGACACCTCGCCAGCAGCTGCTCGTGTCGCTGCGGTTCTATGCTACCGGTGCGTATCTGCGCCTGGTGGGAGACGGCCACGGCGTCTCCGAGGCCACCGTGTGCCGCGCCATTCACCGCGTGACGGATGCAATAATCCACCGCTGCCCAGGGGCCATCACCTGGCCGGGCGACCCGGCGGCTCTCGGACGTCTCAAGGAGGACTTTCGACAGGTCGCCGGGCTGCCCGACATCGTGGGGTGCATCGACGGCACCCATGTACGCCTCACCGTCCCCCGAGAGCAGCGGGAGGCGTATATCAATAGGAAAGGCTTCCCGTCCCTCAATGTGATGGCTGTCGCTGCACCCGACCGCTCAATCGTTGCATTGAGCGTGCATTGTGGCGGTCGGGTGCACGACGCCCGAGTTTTAGCGACATCAGGGCTGCCCGACTATTTCCGGAATGGAAATCCTGTAATGGGCGCCATGATGCTGGGGGACAGTGGCTACGGCCTGTCACCCTGGCTCATGACGCCCATTGCAGACCCCACCACCGCCGAGGAGCGCGCATACAATAACGCTCATGCGCGCACTCGTGTGGTGGTGGAGAACGCCTTCGGCGTTTTGAAAATGCGGTTCGGGGCGCTCGAGTTCGGGCTGCGCCTGAAAAGTGTGGCCCGCTGCGTGGCGGTTATTCACACGTGCTTTATCCTACACAATATGTGTATCAAGGGCGGTGACTTCGGCGAATGGCTCGGACCACTGAGGCAAGATGAAGGAATGGTGCAGGAGCCAGCTGACGGGGCGGCAGAGCTGCCGGCGGCAGGCGCCGAGAGGCGGGCGGGTCTTGTGCGCCGCAATGACCTCGTGCGGCTGTTCGTACGCCATTAGGTGGTCGATACTCGGGCCAACCGCAGCTAGGCGACAGCAGAGTCGTCTACTCATGGCCAGTGGCCTATGGCTATGTACGTGTGCTTGAGTGTTTGTGTATTTGTATACGCTTGGGGATAGGGAGAGAAGAGGGAGCGAGGGGTATAGGGAGCGAGCGGGAGAGGGAGCGAAAGGGAGAGGGAGAGCAGCAAATAAAAACATGTTTGATGGTTGCTAGCCTTTTTGTAAGGTATTTGCGATTGACAGTGTGTTTATGTTTGACCTTTGAGTGAAACTTCTGTACCTACCATGTGTAATGGTTAGGTGTTCGTTTACAATTCATGTGACATACGATTCAGTCCAAGCCAGAACCATGAAGAGGAAGCTTGAAACTAATTACTTCTTAAAACGGTTTATTTCCTTCACAAGAAAGGAATAATATATTTGAGGCGTATTTCATTCACGTGACTGTCAAACCGAACTAATTAAGTTAACTTTTTCCTTAAAAACAAAACAAACAAATTTAGCCAGAGTCGCCACCAACTTCGACAGCTCCGGCTCCGCCTCCATCTCCGGGCAAAAGATGCCGGCTCCGGCGGCTCCGGATCCAGCTCTAGCTGCGGTTCCGCAGCCCTGCTCATAGCACATATGTCAGGGTTGGTGTGGGAGTTCCTCCCTGCAGCATGTCCTCCAGGATCTGTAAGCTGAGGTAGGTGCGGAGCAGGGTCACCTCCTCCGGCGTCCGTCTGAAGAGTGGCGTTGAGCGGATGAGCTGGAGGCGCGCTTCAATCTCATCGCGGTTTCTCTCCGATGCCTGGGACGCTCTAGTCGAGAGGGCCACGTCAGCTGACGAGGCCTCGCCGGTCGAGAGAGCCGTGGCGCTCTCCTGGGACGCACCAATCGAGAGGGCTGCGTCAGCTGACGAGGCCTCGCCGGTCGAGAGAGCCGTGACGCTCTCCTGGGACGCTCTAGTCGAGAGGGCTGCGTCAGCTGACGAGGCCTCGCCGGTCGAGAGAGCCGTGACGCTCTCCTGGGACGCTCCAGTCGGGAGGGCTGGGTCAGCTGACGAGGCCTTGCCGGTCGAGAGAGCCGTGGCGCTCCCCTGGGAGTGGGACGGAACAGTCGAAGGGGCTGCGTCAGCTGACGAGGCCTTGCCGGACGAGAGAGCCATGGCGCTTTCCTGGGGCGGACCAGTCGAAGGGGTTGTTGCGTTTGACGAGCCTGCCCTGGTCGAGGGGACGGTCGAGAGGACCGTGGTGGTTATCGTGGTCGCATTGGTCGCCGGAGACTGGGCGAGCGGCGTGCCCAGCCCTATCAACCGACCGTCTTCTGTAGTGAAGTAGATACTGGGTGCTGATGACGTTTCTCCCGCGGTTGTCAGTGCGGTTTCTGGGCCGGCTTCTTGCTGATTCGTCATCATCTGGCCCCAGGTAATCCCGCCAGGAACCTTAAACGACGTCAGGTAGTTGTCTCTGCCTGCCGGAGTGAAAAAAACAAAGGGATGTAAGAGACAGCGGATCTTGGCGCCCTTTTGCCTCACGCTTACGATGTTAATCCCTTGGGTCTGGGAAGGGGTGCCGTCCCAAAGGTTTTCTTTTTTTTGTCACGATAGCTTCTAACACACTAACACAGGAGAAAAAGAGCTTAGCTCGGACATGTCTGATCTTTTGTTTAAGCCCTCCAAAGACAATGCATAAAAAATATTTAACACTACTATGTACCGTTACATCTGAAGGCTGAAAGTAACATACCCACGCAATCCATGACGGTATCGTCGAGCTGGGTCCAGACCACTGCACCTGCCCCCGACTGGTTCTTTTGCTGGAATTTTTCTGCAACAGAGGTAAGTGTACGGCGTGAATATTTGCTCTGTGGGGGATATCAACCAAAACATGTGCGGCTCGGTTCGTCAAAAGCTGTTTCTAAAGAACTAACGCCTTAAAAAAATTGAAGTCTGCGTATATGATATAAGGTGCGTTATTTGGTTAAATGCCATTGTGCTAGCACTGCAGTGTGCTTAATTGCGGTGTCGTAGTGGTGGTAACAATGGTTACTCACTTTTTGTCCGGTCTTGGGTGTTTTTTATAACACCCTGCAGCATGCTTTGCGTCGATGTTGCGTCATTTATCAGGCCAAGTTGAATGGCTCGCTCGCGTATGCGACCCCATTCTTGAAGCCTACGCGAGCGGGCATTGGGGCCCTTAAACTCTCCATAAAGTGTCTGGAAAAGGAGAACGTTGACACACTTTATTTCCATATCTGTTGGGTGGGTAATCAGGCAAAACTCAGCAGATACAGCCGGCATCATAAGTACCTACTCCGCCTCCCGAGATTCACCATTGCAAATGATTTGTCTACTTTGTAGGAGAACAAGCAAATTGTAATGCTCGAAGGATACTAAAAGTTAGCCTTAAACTGCACAACGTGGTCGATGAGTTTGTAATCCAAGAATCTATTGGCATCGGAATAACTTTTCCTCCAACGTTTCCTCTAATGACAACGCAATGTTGTCGTTCCCTCGGCCTAGAGAAGTTAAAAAATGACAAACTTTAATGGTAACATTTATCATAATAAAAATGTTACGGGCGCAGAAGCCTGCGAAGAAGTGATATTCGAGGACTCTTTGAAAATGACGAACATTTTTTGACGAACATTTGTAAACCTTCGGATTTAGAACCTCCGAAGGTTCTAATTTCGTCTCTGATCCACCCGCGTCCATCTCTGACTCCCCCCTCCACATCTTGCGTCTTTCGTGTTTGTATTATATGAATTCCTGTGTGCTGCAATGTAACCGGACTCGTGATGACGATAATCTTTCAGCTCTATATTTGCGTTTAGAGTTCAGACTACAATTTGCGTATCGATACTACAATTTGCGTATCGATGTCGGAAAATTGACATTTGGAAAAGTAGCTTTTCCAAGTAAATAAGCATCCTGACTTGGGCATTGCAGCTGGCCTCAAAAGCTGTATTTTGATGATATTTCGACGACGCATAATTTAAGAATAGTAATTACGATTTGTGTGTAGGTATAATATGCATCCTTCACGGCAGAGAGTCGTGAAGGATGCACGGCTAAATCGTGTTCCCGGCTGTGGCGGGAAGCCGTCGCGCGTCGGCGCGCGGGCGCGGGCAGAGCGCGTGGAAGACAGAGGTGTCTTACATATTCATAACTAGCTATCTGTTTCTCGGACATTCATAGCCCATTTCGTCTCAAGACTCAAGGCCCTCTTCACCTTAGCAGGGGGGGGAAAAAGTGCCATCTTTTGCAGGGACCGAGCCCGTGTCGCGTTGACCACATTTAGCCATTTTGTCCCAGTTTTGCATTTCATTTTTAACGCGTTAAGTCTATCAAGCGAATTCAAATTTGCGAAAATCTATTCCATTTCCGGCCACATACTACGCACTATCCAGACGGACGAATGCACTATAAAAGGTATAGACGCATATGGTGATGGTGCCTACCAGGGCTGCGGTGTAAGTCGGAGTCGGAGTCGGGCGGAGTCGACAGTTCTGATCGGAGTCTGAGTCGGGATACGTTTGGAAAAACTGGAGCCGGAGTCACAAGAAATCCAGCGACTCCACAAACCTAGCAAGGCTTTGGAGTCGGCGTCTGTCTGAGTTGGAGTCGGTCGGAGTTGACAATGCCACCCGGAGTCGAAATCGGAGCTTTTAAAGCTGGAGTCGGAGTCTGAGTCACCGAAAACTAATCGACTTCGCATCTCTGGTAGGTACCAGAGTCTACTACCTATATAAAATTAGCCATGAGGCTGCTTGAAATTTGTGTCTAGTACGTATGCATAACTATGTAGAATTGCATGCTCTTTTTTAATAGTGACGGTACACTACATAGGAACTGGAACCATTTAATTCAATTGCCCACATTAAATGCCTCCCCCGAACAAAGAAAAAATTAAGGAATTGTTTAATTTTATCTGAGCTTGGATACCTAGGTACACATCATATCATCAAGCACGTTTAGGAACACAGGGATTGTTGCAATGTTACAGCTCCACCCGTGATGTTGCCAAGGATGCTAATGGTGCATTGTAATTTACAAAATTATGCCTACCCTCTAAATATGCGAAGATCACGGCATCGAAATTATCGCAAAATAAATGAGCTAGAGCCTCGTCAAAAATGCTATATAAACGCGACTCCTATCTTGGATAGCGCAGTCGCACTCACCTTGCGTTCATCACGGATGAGCTGAAACAGTTCAAGCTTTTTCTGTTCCGCAATTATTCGCTTCATCTCCGCTTGCACTTATCTTTTGCTCGTTCGATTGAGAATTAATAGTTAAGAATTATCATATGAATACCAAGGGACGCGAAGGATGAGTAGTTTTGAAACAAGCGGTCAGATACGCCACTTTGTTGCCATGGCAACGTCAACCACATTATAATTACGGAGCGAGCGAAGCGAGCGGAGTCTTACGTAGAATAACGGAAATTTCTGAGTATGAGCGGCCGGCCGGCCGGCCGGCCGGCCGGCCGGCCGGCCGTGCGGACGCTTTTGCGAGGCTTATATCTCAGCAACCACTTGACCGATTTACATGCGGTAATTTTTGTAGGGTACCTTCATTCCTTCTACCAAGTATTGGACTATTCCCGATGCATGTGGGTGACCCCTTATGCACGTGCCACGTGCAAAACGAAGAGGTGTCACTTTTGTAATTGTTGCAATATCTCGGTAACTACTTGGCCGATTGCGCTGAAAGTTGGCATGTAGGTAGGCACCCACTAGGCACTGCATATCCATGTGCCAGAGTTGGGGTGCCGCTGCACGTGCGCACGTGCAGGGGTCGTTTCCAAATCTCGAGAACGGCTGGACCGATTGCGCTCAAATTTGGTACACAGTTAGGGACCGGTTACTAGGGTGCCGTGCACAAGTCAGTTGGGACCCATTTTGCACGTGCGCACGTGCAGGGTGCCGCTTCCAGATCTCGAGAACGGCTGGGCCGATTGTGCCCAAATTTGGCACATCGCTAGAGACCAGTCAGTAGGGTGCCGTGCACAAGTCAGTTGGAGGTACCCCCTCGAAATTTCGCACGTGCAAGACTCACCCCCTCGCTCGCTCCGTTAGTCGCCCCAAAAGGCGCTATACTGGTTTAATTTACTCAATCTTTTCATTGAATAAAGATATATATGTATTCGAAATAATTATTGGAAGCTAGTAAAGGTTGAAAATACGTTTTAACAAAACAATTTTTTTTCTTTTCCGTTCGTTTTCTAGCACCTTTTTCCTGCCCAGGCCGCCGAACATCCAATCCTAAAAACGCGAGTTGTCAAATTTACCTGGACAGGTAGGTAGAATGGTGCAAGAGAAGTTGCCGCCGCAGGTAGTTTTACTAGGTAGGTATTTTGCTGATTCTACCTAGCTAGGTAGTTTGGTGCAAGAGGCCTCAGCTCAGTTTGAGTTGTTCAATGGTGTATTCAAGCGCATATCGCACCCTTATGCCCATCGAATGGCAGACAAGTATGTACAGTTCGCACTCGGACCACTACTGCCTCCTGTGAGGGTGGTTATCTGTTTCACCTACTTCTACCGTATTTTTGTGGCTACCTGTTATCACCCTATAATATGCACAGTGCACACAGCACAAAAGCAGAAACACACCGTCAGGACAGAGACAGTCAGATGTCTCCCATCATTCCCTGTATCGGATGACCCAGCGGCCAAATGTGCCTATCCTTTGACGCATCGCCCAGCCTTTGACACATGGTTGCGTTCACATACGCGGATTGCGGCGCACCTCTGCAGTCAGACTTTGATCCGACCTCGGGGCCCGACGGGCTTGAAACCAGAGAAACTCTGGCTAATAACATGTCGGGGTGGGAGATGGGGCGGGGCGGGACGACTGCCTCCAGCTGGGGCGGGATCTGTGACACTGATGCTAACGCGCGCGCCATGATGCGAGGCTTGTGCTGGCATGGACACTGATATAAGGACCATACTGACACGTGATCATTAATGACAATGTGAATACCATATGGGCACCTAACCGGCACTGGTGCCTCCGATTTGACTTATCTACTGAGCTCTCAGCTCTTGTTCACCTATCAAGTATTCACAATTTAGTATAGCTGTCAGTCGCGGTCCGGAGGACTTAGATTCCTTCCGTGCCCGTCCCCACGCACCGCCTTGTACGCACCGCCGTCTCAGTACAGCATATCGCTCCTCTTACTGACCTAACCCCTGCTCCGCCCACACAGACGTCAGGAGACGGCCCCGATGACCCGGCCGAGGCCAACAGCACCGATAGTGCTCCGCCACCGGTCACCGAGGGGTCATCGACCTCTGAGAGCGGCGGCTTGGACCAGGACGTCACCGGCCTGGAACGGCTCATCAGGACCGGTCAGTCACGGGGTCGGAGCAGGGAAAGGCACAATTGGGTGCGGCACGTGGCTGGTTTGGTGACGGAGGGTTGTTGGGGCTGGTCCTTGACCGGCCATTTACGGAGTCGGGGTAGGGCAGGGAAAGGCAGGACGGGGTAGCTAGGTCGGATTGAGGATAGGGTGGGTTGGGTGGAGAGGGGTAGTTGGGGCTGGTCCCTTCAGGCAGGCAGTGGAGGCCTGGAGTGCAGGACAGGTCGGGGACAGGGCAGCCAGGTCGGGCTGGAGGGTCTGGTTGACGCTGGATCCGGGGAACTGTGTCGGCAAGGAGGTTGATATCAACGCCAGCGGGTCAGGTCTTAGTTTGTATTTTCTCAAAAGCTATGGAAAATGTAGTTTTCCTTTGGTAACTTCCGACTGTTACGCCCTCTCTTTTCTTGTGTTACGATCCTCGCTGGTGCTTCTGCACATCTCCGCATATTTATTCATACATGTTCATGTGTTTTACTGTTGTGAGTTTTTGATTGAACAGTGGTGATGCAATTTTTACGCGAGATGAAAACAATAAAGATCATTTCTTTTTTTAATTTTATCTGGTGTCAGATGTAAAAAGTAAACGATATACTTTGTTAAAGATAGCTTTCATCTACCATCACTTAGATGATTTGCCTATTTGCCTTTTCCGCCGATGAATGCTTCCCCATTCCCCAGTCCCCACCGAATTCCGAATTCACTCCGCTTGCTTGCATTTATGCCGTGCCGCTTCGGTACCAATTCCAAACAAGCTCGATCGTTCCGAGATTCTAGCATTCAACTGACTTCTTGTTTTCCACTCGCCCACTCAAACTCAATTTTAAAAGTTCTTTCTTTTGCGCTACACTGTCTTGCCTTCTCTTGCTTTGCTCTCAAACTTCAGCGCAATTATAAGTTAAAAGGCTGTTTCATAAGCAATGTTTTTCGGATACAATACACCAAAGGTCTCCGGAAAGACAAGGTTTGCATCATCCAGTTGCATCCTTGCCGGATTGCCGCCAGTTGCTTGGACAAACGGAACACAGCTAACTTGGAGGTCAAAACAGAGTCTCTAACCACTGGACAACGTCCACTCACTGCTTTTGTCTAATGTCGTCAGTCGTGTCAGACCAAACGCTTAGGGTAAATAAACATATATTGTCAAGCGTCCGTCTGACCTCCGGTATCTCCTGTAACGCACAATGCGCTATGTTCTTTAGCGTAAGCCAGTTGCGCGACATTTGCGGCGCCCCCTGACGCTTCATACGTTGTCTGATTGCGTTCCATCGTTTTATCTCTCTCCGATATGAAATCTGGTTGTAATGAGTGTGACACCGGCTCCGATCTGTCTGAGATCCGCTCCGACCCTTCCGGCCGATCTGATTTTGACTGTATCTCCTATGGCGCTCCGCCGGACGCCACCCGACCCGGGGACAGTGTTATACTCCGTTCAGCTCGGGAGACCGTGCTGGCCAGGTAAGCGGCTTTGGAGACCGATCCGGCCCAGGGCGCTGGCCGGGCCCGCAGCAGGACATTAGCAAATGGCTGTGGTTGTCAACAGCCCTCTGTGCCGGAAACGGGGGATTGGAGGGTTGCTGGGCTGTTGCCAATTTTGGCATTACCGACCTAGCAATAAGCGCCGGTCATTGAGTAGCGATAAGGATGTTCGACTGATAAGTAAATCGTCATATGAGTGCCGGCGGCGGCGCTGGCCGGACGTGCCGGTCTGTGCTTCTCAATGCTCGCTCGGAACCCTCTCAGCTCCATCGGACGCTCAGATCTCTGAGATATGACGGTAAAAACCCGCGGAGCTCGCTGCGATCCGGCTGTTTATGAAGTGAGCTCGGCCGGATCGCTGGCGAGCGCGCCGTCTAAGTCGCCGACCGGCGCGCTCGGCACGCGCCCGTCGCGCGCGCACCTCTCCCGCGTAATCCAATAAGGCGCGCCAGATCTGGCGCGCCATTTTCCGCCGGCGCGCCGTCGCCGGTTTTGGCGCGCCGAGACGACAATTTCCATACGGTGTTTGATTAGCCAAACATGATGTCTGCAGTTCGATTTCATCGGCGCGCATTAGTCACAGTTTCATTTCGTCGCGGCCTATATTTCCATAGTAATCGGGTTTGGTCCCACGTCGCTCCGAGGGTGGGGTTTGGGCGGGGGGGGGGAGGTTCGCCCGGCGGGTACGTGAGCCCTACCGGCGAGACGGAGCTGCTCCGGGTCCTAAACCGTAGCTGGACCGAAGGCACGGTCCCCGCCAGCTGGCGCGCCGCAGAGATAGTCGCCATCCCCAAGAAGGGCAAGTCGCCGGCCCTCCCAAGCAGCTACCGGCCAATCAGCCTCCTCAACACCATCAGCAAGCTCGCCGAGAGACTGGTGCAGAACCGGCTCCAACACTGGCTGGAGCGACACAAGAAGCTGAACCCGAACCAGGCCGGCTTCCGCAAGGGACACAGCACGATCGACCAGCTCTTCCGAGTCACCCAATCGATCTTCGACGCCTTCGAACAACCGAAGCACCATCGCGCCATCCTAGTCTTGCTAGACTTCGCCAAGGCCTACGATCGTGTATGGCGGGACGGCCTGTTCCACAAGATGGAGAAGATGGGCATCCCTGGCTGCGCCACGCGGTGGGTGAAGGCCCTGCTCACGGATAGGCGTGCTCGTGTCAGGTGGGGAAACGCCCGCTCATCACAGCGCGTCTTCCAAGAGGGCCTCCCGCAGGGCAGCGTGATGGCGCCGCTACTGTGGCTGATCTATTGCAATGACCTCGATGAAGACATCAACTCCAACACCACCCGCTCTCTCTACGCGGACGATACCGCCCTCCTGGCTACTGGACCTTCGCTGCAGGCGTGCGCCGACCAGCTGCAACCGGATCTGGACCAAGTCGCCCGCTGGCTGGACAAGTGGAAGGTCGAGGCCAGCCCAAGCAAGTGCGTCTTCACCACCTTCTCGCTACACGCCAAGGAGGTCAACGGAAAGGTCGTCCCGACACTGACCTTCAAAGGCGACCAGCTCGCGCACGAGAAGAACCCGACCTTCCTGGGGCTGACCCTGGACAGCCAGCTCACTTTCACCAACCACATCGAGGAAGTGAAGAAGAGGATGGCACAGCGCCGATGCTGTCTGACAGCTCTGGCGGGCAGGTCATACGGCTGTGACCAAGCCACGCTGCGCGCGGCCTACATCGCGTACATCCGCAGCGTGGCCGACTACGGAGCTGCCCTCTACTCCACCCACGCTGCACCCTCCGTGCGGGCCCGGATCGAGGCAGAGCAGCACAAGTGCGCCAGAGTGATCACTGGCTGCATCCGCCTCACAAACTCGGAGACCCTCATCACCGAGGCCGGCCTGCCACCACTCGCAGTGAGAGGCTGGGAAATAGCAGCAATGGAGCAGGAGCGACTCGCCAGACTGCCGCCAGGAGACCCCGCCAGAGCCCTCACCGAGCGACACGTCCGCCCACGCCTCAAGCACAGGGCTCATGAGGCCTGGCAGCGAGCGCGCACTGAGGCCAGAAGACGCGGCGAACCGCCGCCGGACCCCCCGAGCGAGGACACGGCGCTGCCCTTCAAACCGTGCTTCCGGCGGGTCAGTCAGTGGATGGCCAAGGAGGCGGGTCTAGCGGACCTCCCACGGGAACCGCTGGCCCTGGTCCCGGAACAGCCGCCGTGGACCAACCCAGCAGACGCGGTCACCTTCCGCCTCTCCCTCCCGCGCGTCACCAGAAGAGACGACCCACCCGCCGTGAGGAAAGCTGCCGCCCTCGAGGCCATAGCCATGGTCAATCCGGACTGCACCATCTGGTCCGACGGCTCCGCCAAGTCCGGCACCAGGGACGGAGGCGGCGGTGCGCTGATCCAGCTGCACCGGGAGAACCGCGAAGTGGAGACATTGGTACCGGCGGGCTCGGTCTGCAGCAGCATGCGGGCCGAACTCGCAGCGATGTTGGCGGCGTTCACCTGCCTGCTGGCACAACCGGGGGAGACCAGGAGCCGCATCAAGACATGCCTGCTGTGCACCGACTCCCTCTCCGGCCTTCAGCTACTCCAGCGCGGACCGGAGGCCCAGCAGCTGGTCCTCGCCGAGCGCGTCTGGGCCGCGATGGGCTCACTGGGGGAACAGAACACGGCCATCATCCTCCAGTGGGTCCCAGGCCATGCCGACATCGCCGGCAACGAGGCGGCAGACAGGCTGGCTAACCGTGCGGCGGCCGAGTGTGCCCAATCGGAGACGCCCATCGATCTGGCCAGCGCCCGAACCGCCATACGGCAGCGCGCCAGGGAAATGCAGGCCACGCGTGCACACCGGCACCCGCACCCCCAGCCCACACCTGGACTCCAAGACCTCCCGCGCTGGGGGCAAGTGACCGTGTCGCAGCTGCGGACCGGCCACTGCCCCCTGGCACGAGCGACGCTCCACCGCCTGGAGCTCACCCCGGACCCTCTCTGCCGGGAGTGCGGTGCCGAGGACACCGTTCGCCACCTCCTCACCGAGTGCCCAGCATTCGCCACCACGAGACGCCGGCTCTGGGGGGGACCCCTGCCATCCCTCGACGAGGTCCTCTCCGGGCCGGCCGGCAAGATAGTTGAATACATTCGGCGGGTGGGGCGGTCCGAGCCGCCGCTCGACCAGCCCCCGTCCGACGCGCCTGCGGGCGCGTCCACGTGACGTGCGACGAAGAAGAAGAAGGTTCGCCCGGCAGTCGGCGGGTCAGGTGCGGACCGCTTTAGGTATTCATTGGTGGCGCCCGGCCGGCGCGGGGCTGGCGCCCGCCGCCGCCCGCATGGGTGCCGCCCGGCAACTCACTCCGCTAGTGCGGGTTATTAAATTTGGTGCGAGTCGCTGCAGCAGCGGCGCTGTCAGCCGTCATACGCAGATGACCCGGCGAGTCACCGAGGGTGGCACAGAGCCGCGGCGGCGGCAGCGGCGGCCCACATAGACGGCGGCAGCGCGTCTATGATCGGCACCCCGTCTCCTGGAATGGACGGCTTTGGACGAGCCTCTGAGACGTGGTCGGACAATCTGCTATGATTACCGTTCGGCCAATAATGGACATTGGCGGATATTTGACGCTCGAATGGCCGATCTGACACACTGACCGCGCTTCGCTCGCTCTTGGATGACACAATTCGTTAGACATTGACAAGACGTCCAATAGCGGCAATAGTCGGCGGCCATTGAAGCCGAATATTACTTTGATCTGACTGCCTAATTGAACATCCCAATTGTGACGGTATAGCACGGGTGTGGCTGTGCAATTATGGTGTCAGATGGTAATATATTGCATGTTGCACCAAAAATATCTAACAAATGAGGCATTGACAGTCGCGGTCTGTATTGTATGCTGTTGATGGGTACATATGACGTTCGTAGTCACAGCAGGGCTTGATCGCTGCAAGGAAAATAATTTCCTGTTTTTCCCGCGTGATTGTTTCTCAGTTGAGGGCAGCTTGATGACATAAGGGAAGAGCGAGGGGTTGCCCTCTGAGGAGCGATTTCGCGTACCCGCCGTTGTCACTTATACCTACTCTGCGATCATCAGGAGACGTTACGCTATCTGAATGCACATTTCCACAAATACATCTTTGTAAGCTCTGTAGGCTCATCCGTTTGGTGAGATTACCGTTTATTAGTACGGAACGGCACCTGTCTATTAATTTTGTTATACATGCTTGTGGTTTGAAACATTTTCATGTGACCAGCTTTATGTCTGGCGATTCGTATTGTTAGCGTTTGCCAGCCACTTGTTATTGCCAAGATTCGTGCTGACTGATTATTGAATATAATGATTGCCTAGTTTACCATATTCCCTACCTTGCATATTTAATGCATGGTATTGACCAATTATAGACCCTGAATGATTATTGTAGCGTATACTGGGCAAACATTCATGCCTGGCTATTCAGAATCGCTGTGGCATTTGGCAGTAAGTGACTAGATTGTGAACGGCTGCACGAAAACAATGTCAGTACATAAACGCGCTACATGAAGTCCGAAAATAACGCTCGCTCAGGTATTTCAGTTGCGAAGAGAACACATTTTAAAAGGATAATGCTAAGTGGAAAGTCAACGACCCTCTGCCAATATTTACAGGAGCAACTGATGTCATCTGTTCATCCTGTCAACTCCCCCAGACACTGACGCAGTGTGCCCTCTGTCCCCAGTGTGGCCGGACGAGGAGTACATCGTGGAGTACTCGCTCGAGTACGGCCTGCTGCGGCTCTCCCCTGCCACCCGCCGGCGTCTCTCGGTACCAACCCAGATCGTGTTACTCGATCCCGACTCGGACGTCTGTTTCGGCGACCACCTCAGCCGGCTGATCCTGGCCTGGCTGATTGGGTACGATGATATCCTGCTGAGCAGCATCAAGGAGCTGGCTGAAGCCGAGGATAATCGCGGCTACCTCAGGTGAGGACGGAGCGGCGGCGGTCATTCCGCGGCTACCTCAGGTGAGGACGCAGCGGCACGGTCTTAGTCACGGTCAGGTAGAATAAGGGCTACCTCTGGTACGCATGGAGACCTCGGATGAGCTACCCCAGACAGGGCTTCGGAGTCAGAGTCGATCAGACGCGGCATTTTTTACTTGAGTCGGAGTGGCAAAAATCTTATGGATCCTAACTACGGGGTGGGGGCCGACATTGCATGCCTTCTAGTCACGATATAATCCTTAAAAAAAAAATATTTTGTATAATGTGTATTTCGCTGTTGACTGCTCCAATCGTGATCTTTTCAAATATAAAGCCATGCTGCTGTTTTGAACCAGCCCTTTGAGTGTAAAATGTGGAAAACTTAGCTGTGTCAGAACCTCATCTCTGTGCTGTTAGTTGTTTCTAGTGTATGTTATGTAATGTAAGTATTTGGAATGCGAGAGGGATTGCTCTGGTAAGATTAAAGGCATCTCAGTTATGAACCATATTACCGTGATGCGGACTGGAATCAAGAGCGATACCCGTAGTCAGAGTTAGAGCGTGAGTCTGAGTCGAAAGTGGACCTTTTAAGCCGTAGCAAATTTTTGTTGGGTCACCGAGGAGTTGTTGGCTCTGCAGTGCTAACCGCAGGTACAGATGGGGAGAAGCTATTACAGGCCATGCAGGATAATTGGGTTGTACGAATGGGGCCAGAGGGGGCTTGGCCTATCTCGAGTATACATACGTAGGGGACGGGTGTTGCATCAGGTGGAGCGGGGACAACCCTGGCTAGGGACCGGACTCGGAGACATCCACAACAGCGAGCAGCGAGCGACTTCATCGGGGGGGGGGGGGGAACAGATGGAGTGCCTCAGAAGAATTATTCATACGATTTTGCATCTGTTAATGAAATGCCAGAGGGTATTTTATAAGAGTGGCTATTTCAGACAGTACCGGAAGTGCATTCTATGAGCAACACGATTGGCTTATGCCTACTTGTGTGCATTTGTTATCCCGAATTCATTTGTAAGCGAACTCATTTTCGCGTTGTTATTTGCGTAAAGCTGTGTGTTTGTTTAGTACTGAGCGTAATGAGTTGCCGACATTCACTGATTAGCCCCGCATATGTTTGTAATCGAAATAAGCGTACACTTTAAGCCCTGCCCCAATCGGGAGGTCGAAAGTTTCTCATTCTCAACGCCTACAACAAACGCGGTGGACCCCGAGCAAAGTTCGCTAGTGAACTCGTGCGATGTTCCTATCTTGATCGCTCATCTTTAAACCATCGTCGTCAAATTTGTGTGAAACTAGTGCGGAGCCCAACTCGCCAAATTTACCCAACCATGAATCCGAACTGGTGGTCCAAGTTTGTCGGCAGATGTCCCGGCCGACCGGTCAGGAGGGGTAGGCCGTCCTGGAGGGGGGGGGGGGGAAGGCGTGGCATCTCGGATCTTAGTGACGACATCTCAACTTTGACCCAGCAGGGCTGCCCGGCTAGAGGGGCGAGTGGGCACAAAGTCCTTGCCCATAGACAGAGAGGTAGGTGGGGCAGCTGTAGATTGTAATGTAGCGCAACTTTCGTGTGTTAGCTGGAAAATAATGTATTTCATCATCGCACTTTTCGGTTGCTTTTGGTGTCCACTCAAATTGTCCCGATTTTTTTTAGCTGTTATTTTCTTAAACAATCTATTGCTGTTTTTTGCTTATCGAGACTAGCAAAGACTTCGACCATTTCGTTATGCTTCTCAAATGTTTCTAAAAATACGATTTCCGAAGAAATGCAAATTGATGCGATTTCTTCTCGAAATGACATGCCGAAGTTTTCTTGGTCCCTACCCTCGGAACTGTTTTGCTGCTTTTGACATGTTGAAATGACACTGGCGATTAGGACTGGATGCCTGCCGGGGAGTGCTTTCAGATCCCAAGTCACATCATTTGCTCTGCCTAAATCCACGCAGTAGGTCCTTTTATTGTGCACTATGTACTATCGCGGCATTACTCCTCGGTCATATCGTCTTCTTTAGGGTACAGTCCCTTCACTCTCGGATACCGCCGGTGTAGTTTTTTTTCAGTCGGTCTCCCAATTTTCTCTGCCGACTATTTTTCTTGACGCGCCCGGGGCAACTCATCAAAACATTAAAAACACTGATTGTCTGGTGAGCCTGTTGCCTTTGGAAATGGAACAGGCTCTGGGCGTTACGAGGTTCTGGTGGCTGTGATAAGGCCGGGGCGGCGGACCCGGCTGGCGGGAGACGAAACGGAGCCGCGCCGGCCCGGGTCGGCGACCTGCAGTAGACTAAAGGGGTTCGGCGAGTACTGGCTCTACCAGTGGGTTTTCTTGTGGGTATTCAGTTCTTACGAGGTGTTTTCATTAGTGTGTATTCTCATGGAGGGTGTGATTGATTCACACGCATAACGTGTCCACACTCTCCTTACGGCCCGCACCGCTCGCGTATATGGCTCGTGATGCGATCACAGCCGCTGGCCATTCCTCTTCCTCTAGGCGGAACGGAACTTTCCGCTGGTGATTTTAGCATCGAACGTTCTCTCCACTGATATGATGAGATGGACATTTTTCTATTAAAGAGTCTTAAAATGTTAAATTCATCACACTCTGCACATTTCTCGTGTGTATTATAAATGATAATGAACCTTTCCAGAACCCTCGTACATGTTTCACCGCGGTCTAGCCCATAGATCAGTAAAATGGCCTCCTGCGCTTCGCTGATCGACTCGACCTGTCGTTAAGTGCGGAGAGGTGTCGGCCCAAGTATGTGATCTCGGCATAATGCCCTCCTGGAAACGCGGGAACTTGGCGGCACGTTGTCGCATGTGCAAGACTCTTACTTATTAATCTAGTTTTATTGAGCTGGGAAGTTCTCCGGGCCAAGTTGGGGAGCTGATTAATATCCGACCCACGGCGCCGGCCGAGGAAGGACGAGGTCGACTTTGAGTTGTGGGGTCAGCCAGGGCCGACAGGCTGCCCGCTCTTTTCACCCGGGGGTGTGGTTTCACTGCTGAAGGGGATATCTGCCCCATTCCACCTCAACCACCAACTTGAACCTCGTGAGGATGGGGAGAGGGATATTGGAGCCAGCCAGGACCGACGGACCGCTCTCTGCAGGGCTGTGGGTTGGTCGGCTGAGTGAACACCTTGACGCCGAGTTGTATCTCGCTGACCAACGAAACACTATTGACGCCTATCTCTGCCTGTTTCAGGAACGTGGTGACGGGCGAACACTACCGCTTCGTCAGCAACTGGCCTACGTCTACCTCGTTCTTCGCCGCATGCTTCATCATGATCATATTCGTGAGTACCCGGCACTAGCTGCAGTAGCACATGGACCTTTGAACAGCCCCAGATTTACACGAAATCCTGCTCACAGGTGACAGGATCACGAATGATCTCGTAGCTCCACAATCCCATTATTACACGGGGGATCAGAATGTTTGTAGAACCAGTTATAATATCTCCTTGATAACCTAAGTTCCGTCTCTCCTCCCTCTGTCCCTGTTCGCTCTTTCACACGCCCAGCTTCCCCTGACCTGCCTCTACCCGTCCTCTCCTGCCTCCACTTCTGTCAGGCCGACATACGCTCCCGGTCCCTCCGGCAGTGCCAGCACGCTGCCCGGCCGGCCGGCCGGCCCGACGGCCGTATATTTGACATGCTAATAAAGCGTTGTGTGGATTATTGCCCGGTTGATGTCGGCTATAAGGGCCCTCCGTAGGGACTCGAGTGTTCCGTGTCGGAGCCTGATCCGCCCGTATTGGAGAGCCATACGGAGACGGAGGGACGAAGGTGGATACGGACAGACTGAGACGGAGACGGGGGCAGGCGGGGACGGGCACGGAGACGGAGATGGAGGCAGACGGATAGATAAATGTGGAAACCGTCAGTGACAACATTGACTGAGATGGAGACAAAGACGATAACAGACGGACAGATGAAGACGAATGAGGGGAACCGCAGGCAGCTGATAGTAAAAAAAAAAAAAAATACAAAACGGATATTTAATGACAAATGATACATGAACAGTGCAGCCTCAGAGACGGATTCGGTAACTGAGACTAAGGAAAGAAGACAGTCTGGTTACCGGCGAGATTGCGTCTTTGGTCGACATGTGTTTCGCGGTACCGAGTGGGATTCTGTGATGTGTTGCGTCTCCCCAGGCTTGCAATGCCGTGCTGCCCTGGAGCAGCCGCCCGAGAGTGGCGCACCAGACATCCGTTTGATCTGCTCTCCGTCAGAGCCAGGCTGGCAAATGTTTGTCGCAGCGAGACCTTTTCTCGTCCGCCGTGTATATCTTTGTTTTCTCCAGCTGTATTGAAAATCATTCTCGTGTTCACTTTGGAACAACCCCTCGGATTCTGCCTTTCAGATCCAGGAAACTTCGTTCCGTCCATACTTGATGCTCTGCCGGTATCTGATACAGAATGCTGGCACAACTATCGCCGACGCAGTCATGCATTTGTCAGCGTCTGGCCGCTGATTTGCTCCCGGCCCCTGCTCGTGGACCGGTCTGGATTGGATGGTGCAGTAAGGACTGGACCCAAGCCTGTTCCTTCCCACAGTGTTCCGCCCTCACCTGGCCACACACGGCCATGACTGCTAATTCGATCGACGGCCATTAAAACTTCCCGAAATACTTGGAACGTTTATTAACGGCTCCGACGTGCGTCGGCGTCCGGTGAGCGCCGCTGCTCTCAACGGACTCCCCCTCTCCGCCCACCCCTCCCCCGCTCTCTCCCAGTCAGCCCCGGTGGCGGCGGCGCGTGGCCCGGTCCGCCGCTGTGGTCCCCGGGGAGGGCGTCTTTGTCGACCAACCTCGGAAACTGAGTTACCGACAGAGGCGGAATTAGCCGGCCGGCGCCACCGGCCCGGCCGAAAAGGCCCTGTTTGGACGCCGTCTCGCCGCCGCGGGCTCAACGCTTTCCGGCACAAATGCGCACAAAGGGTGCGGTCGCGGTGTCACACTGTTGAATGTTATACTTGGTCTGCAGACAACAAAACCAGCTCGGTACATAAGGAATGGTAAATTGTAAATTAGACCGGCTACGACGCGTTTTGAACCAGGATTGGTGTACTGTGGCACTCTGTTCCTAATTGATTTCAGTTATAATGGGATGTAGGTAACTCTTACTTTGAGATGCGAATCACGCTCGTCGGATGTGCCATCGCTTCGCGCATATTTTGTGCAGCAACATTTACATTGTTGTCTGTACCGTCGCAGACTACAACATTGTAGTTTGCGATCTAACAGAAACTTGATCTTGATATCGTTTAGAATTTAGTGTTTTCCTTTTTAGTGTTTTCCTTTTTATCTGAAAATAAATTGAAAGATCGAATGAAATACTGAGTGCCTAATGACCCCAACATCAACCCTGTCGTGAAACAAAGCCCACGTCACTACCGGACACACCTAACAAGCTGCCGCCACCAAACTGCTCTCTCCAATACTCATATCCCCGGCTGTGGAGGGTGGCTCGGACGGGTCTCGAGTACGGTCGCCGGGGCTGCCAATCCAAGACGGGCTGCAATTTTCCACTATCGGCCTAACGCCGTTGAGCCGGAGTTTTTCCAATACGCCGCGCCCATTGTACCGGCGTCCACGGGGCACTGAGGGCTGGTCGACCGCCGCCCGGCGAGGGCGGGATGGGGAGGGGACCGGTCTGGCCGGGCAGACGGTCTCAGACCACGGTGTGATTATGGTCAGTGGATGTCGAACCGGCTACTGATGAACACCGTCGCTGTTGTGTCTGACACGAACCGAGACGTTGTTGTACGACGGATAGGGGCCTCGAGAGACCCATGCTCCTGTGTTACGAGCTCATAGGTGGACCTCTGCCTGCCCCACTACGTCCCCGATTATCAGCATCCGTGCCGAGTCGCCTTGTCCTGAGTGACACTGGACAGGTCGCTCGGTCTCGGACTCTCCTCCAGTCGTCTGCTTCTCTGTCGTCTGTTACTCTCTCGTCTGTTACTCTGTCGCCCGTTACTCTGTCATCTGTTGCACTGTCGCCCGTTACTCAGTCGTCTGTTGCACTGTCGTCTGTTACTCTGTCGCCTGGTATTCTGCCGTCTGTAACTCTCTCGTCTGTTACCCTGTCGCCCGTTACCCTGTCTCGCTGTCCGCGTCTCTGTCGGTTTACCGACCGGCTGGTCGGGCCGACCGCTGCACAGTGGCCCTTTTTCAGAATTAGCACGCATAAATTCAAAATATTTTTTCTCTTCTTTTGAGTAAAAAGTAGTCTAATCGTGTGCAAAACATTCCAAACTATCCGATGGTGCCATTTTTACCTCCTAAAAAATAATCATCTTTGGTAAAACTGACCGCAAAATCGAAGTTTGTCGAGAGGCGCGCGGACACCACCGGCGGGCCCTAAAAAGTAGGGTGAGATGAACAACAATTTGTAAGGCTTTCGGTGAGAAAATATTAAAAATAAGTGGCATGGCTGTGAAGCTGAGTTTACGCAGAAGCCCTAGAAACCACAATTTTCATTGTATAAACTTAAATAGGCCACTTTTGCCGAATATTGTGGACACAATAACAGGACGATTATTAACTGGGGATGGCGGCATACATATGAAGCTTTATGTTAAGTAGCACACTCTGGAACATGTCGTATTATACATCGTTCGAATCGCCGATCTCTTCTGACCATGTCCACCAAAGGGCATCGCGCCATTTTGCGCCATTTTGCTTCTACGGTGGATAACGTGAACCAGTTCAGTCCGCGAACGGCTGTGGCTCCTGTTCGATACGACTAAGCTCATTGACCTGGCTCGAAGCTGGTGTCATCTGGTGGGCGCCTAAATGTGGCTTGACTTTTGCCATAAGATGTGCTTATTGAAATGTCATGTAGGCATAACGCTGTGCTCAAGAAAAACTGTCCGATTTCTTGTCGCGTTTGATGTCCAAGCCGCACAAGTCCCGTAGGATCGGCTTAAGATCTAACGTCAAAAGCGCCTATGTGTTTGTATTGTTCGCGTCGCGCTGACCTTAGTTGCTGCTCGGCCGGGGCCGACTAACGGTGGCTGGCAACAGCTGTAGATGCGGTCACGTGACGCCCTGAGGCGTCCTGGCGGTCAGTGCAGCGTGGTCGGCTGGCGGGCTCTCCACACTTGCGTTCGGAGCGGCCTGGGCCGGCGGGCGAGCCGTGCGAACGTGCGCCAAATCTTGGGCCGAGCGGCCTGTCGCTGTTGGGCCGAATCTCCTTGGGCAGTTCGTTTCTTTTCTTCTCTTTGCATTGGCAGGGAATATCAGGGCTGCGGAGTCGGAGTCGGAGTCGGAGTCGGAGTCGGTCGGAGTCGACAGTTGTGACCGGAGTCGGACTCGGAGTCGGAGTCGATTTTAGAAACCCGAGCTGGAGTCGGAGTCGGAGTCACCGAAAATCTGTCGACTCCGCAGCCCTGCTAGGTCTGCGGAGTCGGAGTCGGGAGTTGGAGTCGGTCGGAGTCGACAATTCTGCCCGGAGTCGGAATCGGAGTCGGAGCTGGTTTTTGAAAGCCGGAGTCGGAGTCGGAGTCGGAGTCGCCGAAAATCCATCGACTCTGCAGTCCTGGGGAATACGTCCTTGATCACGTGGTGATGTCTTGCACCACTTTCAGGTAATGTGGGAATTAATGCGTGCTAATTCTGAAAAAGGGCCACTGTGCGCTGGGCCGCTCTCTCCGCCGTATTGTGCGGCGATCGGCGACCGGCGCACCGCCCGGCTAAAATCGTTTCCTGGTCGTGCCATTAGCTGTGTCTGTAGCGACCCGGGGTGCCGCGGCCGGCGGGCCGCCCCGCCGACGGCTGGCTGCCGCCGGAATACAGGCGCCCCGGAGTCCGGCTGAGTCCGTCCCGGAGTCCGGGCGAGTCCGTCCCGGAATCCATCGCAGTCCGCCTGTACCCCGGCGCAGTCCGTCTCAGTTTGGCCGAGTCCGTCCGGAGTCCGGCGCAGTCCGCCCTGGAATCAGACGTAGTCCGTCTCAAAGCTTGGCCGAGTTTGCCTCGGAGCCCACCGAAGTCCGCCCCGGAGTCGAGCACAGTCCGCGTTGGATTCTGACGCAGTCCGTCTCGAAATTTGGCCGATTCCACGGATCCAGTGCAGCCCATGGTTAACAGGGTGGCTCCAATGTCGTGTGATAGTGGAGCTGAATAACCAATAACTATTGGGGGCTGAATTAGCCATAAGGGTGGCGCTGATAAGGGTTGCGCTTGTGATGCCTCTCCATTGGACCATGTTTTAGGGCGTTGATTGCGTTCACCAGAAAGTTTTATCGTCGCATCTGCATCACCCTATTGATAAGCGGAGGGTGTTTTGCT